AAAGGCTGCACTGTTGGCTGCTGAGTGCCAGGTTAGAGACAGTGAGGAGGTTGGGGCCCTGGCTCTGTGTGAAGCTGGCTGGGCATGGGTCAGATGCATCTCCACTCTCAGTACTGGACCCTGGTCTCACCTTCCACCTGGGATCCTTTATGGGGAGCCAAGGCCACTGCCATGCTTAAGGGTAACACCCCACACTGGAGGAATGCCTTAGTTAAGTCAGATGTAGGAAGGGGATTCTCTCTCTCACACTCACACATCCTGCCTCTATTCTTTCTTCTCTCCCTTTCTCTCTCCCTTTCACTGTTTGCGTGGGTATGAAAATAATTAATTAAGTTAAAAATGTATTGAAATAATGGTTATTGTTCTAAACACTAAAACATATCAATCCACAATTAACATACGATTTACTATCCAGTGGATAAAACTAGTAACAGTTGGATCTGTACCAATTAACAAATGTACATTCTTTTCAGTTTAAAATGGTGAACAATTTTTACCACTTGAAGATTTATTCAATTATAGTATTCAAATAATTAAAATAGTTTGCCCAGTAACAAAACCCAACTAGTTTTTTACCATACCTTGGCTTTGGATTTTGGAATAATTTCATTTGGTTGTGTTTATTTGTGTTGGGTTTTGAGTTCATGTCTTGGTATAGAGGAGGCCATGATCTGATGTTCCTCTTCCCCAGTTTGCTTTGTGCTGGGATTTCAATCATGTACCTTACTCAGATTGTTTCCTATATTTGCTGTCATAAGAACTGTCTTGGGAAACTTCTGCTTAATTCAGAGTCTGCAAGCATGTTTAATTTTGGAAACAAGAAATAAAATATGTTTTTCCATATTTTTAACAAATTCTTTGTCCTTTTCCTGGTTTGGGGGTTGTTTTTTGTTTGTTTAATTGGTTGGTTTTGGGTTTTTTGTTGTTGTTGTTTTTGTTTTTTGAAACAAGGTTTGTCTGTGTGCTCATGGCTGTCCTGGAACTTGGACTGTAGATTGGGCTGTCTTTGAACTCACAGAGATCCACCTGCCTCTGTCTCCCTAATGTTGGGATTAAAGAAGTGGGCCAGCATGCCTGGAAACTTTTTTTCATAAAATATAATTCTATCATGTTTCCCTTTCCTCAACTCCTTCCTGATCCTCCCCAAGTCGCTACACACCAAAATTCATATTCGTTCCCTCCCCCCTCTCTCTCTGTCTCTCTCTCTCTCAAATAAAAACAACAACAAGAAAACCAAAATGAAAATCTACAAACAATAAGAAACCCAAAACAGACAGAAAAAATGCAGAACAAATCAACATGAAAGATCCCTAAAAATGAATACTTGGGGTTCCTTTTTTGTTAGCAACTACTTCTGGGCATGAGGCTCCAATGTCACTGCAGTGGAGAAAACTGTTGCTCCCTTTGCCAGCAGGTATCACTTACAAATTGCTTCTTGGTTAGAGGTGGGACCTTGTGTCCACTGCCCCTTCTCAGTGCTGAGTCACCGTCTGGATCCCGAGCAGATCTTATGGGTGCCACCAAAACCTCTGTGAGTTTATGTGTGCCTCATCCTGTTGTGTCCAGAAGACAGTTAATTGAAGTCTTCCATCACCTCTGGCTCCTCATTCTCCCCACATCCTCATCTTCAAAGACCCCTGAGCCTTGAGGTGAAGGCTTTGATGAAGATTTCCTTTTAGGTCTGAGTGCTCCAAAGTCTGTCACTCACTGCACATTGTCCAGTCATGTGACTCTGTGTTCCTTCCCATCTATTGCAAGACCAATGTTTTCTAATGAGTGTTGTGCAAGGCACTGATCTATGTGTGTAATACTACATATTACCAGGTATTTTACCATACATTCCTTGAGCAGAATAATGTTCTTAGGTTTTCCCAAGGCCCATGACTTATCTGGTCTGATGTTTCTGATTCCTACGCAGAGTCCAGGTATGGGCTCCACCTCATAGAGTGCCCTTCAATCTAATCGGAAAGTGCCAGTTACTCCAGGTCATTTGTGCCTCTACTGCGCAGTAGATCTTACAGGCAGATCACAGGTGTAGGTCACAGGGTTTGTAGCTGGGTGATCCTGGTGCTGGCCTTTCCCTCTGGGAGTGCACAGAGTGTCTTCTGGCACCCTGCTTGTGAATCAGTAGGGGTGAAGCTGTTAGTCGGACACCTGCTCAACCTCTCCCTGCTGGATGACATAAGTAACTATCATCTTCAGCAATCTGTCCTTACTATGAGCTTGTGAAGAACAATGAGTGGCCTTGGCAATAGCCTGTGATGGGGGTTGGGAGTGTGGCTCCATGGAGACCTTTTGACCAATGACTCAACGGGATGTAACCCATTACTGGCACTGAAAGTTTTACCTGGTGGCATAAGATGTCTAGGTCAGAGATCATCTCCCCATCCTATGGTGACTCCATTTAAATCCTTTCACATATGTATGTATCTTAGGAATTATCTATAGAAATAGATTTCCATAGAGCTTCTCAAAACTAGATTTTAAAAAATTTATGAAAGAATATGGGTCCCCAGAAGGATAAAACTTGCTTTTGAGCCAAGGGTACATATGACATATGAGTCAAGTTTTTTAAATCAACAAATGCCATGCTAAATCTAATCAACTACTCTCCAATGCACTCTGCACAGAAATTGACAGTGGAATGTGGTGTGTAGTTGTAAGACTTCCCGAGTGGATACTTGAGGATCCAGGACTTAAAGACCAAAATGGATGAGGAAGGGCAGCTGTTGGGTGAGGGTCAAGAAAGGGAGCCCTTTTCTGGGGTTGGGGTGGAGTCTCAGTGCAGTTGGTGGTCAGCAATCATTGTCTCCTCTCTTTCCTGTCCCTGGGGTTTGCAAGCATCTGAGGAGAGCTGCTCAATATTGATGCTAGACCTCCCAAGACTGGCTTCATCAGAGCCATGAACATAGCAGTTTTTTCCAAACTCCTCCCAAACAAGCTCCACATTTGTTTGTTTCTCAACCTAATTTCACCAGGACATCAATTTTCTCCTTTCTTTTGTTTCTTTTCTATTTTCCCCTATTACCTCTCTCACTAATCCTTCCTCATAACTGTCTTCCTTTGCTATTTGAAAGACAAAGGCACCAGTGTGTCTTAGTCAGTCTTCTATTTCCGTGGAGGGAAACCACGACCATGGCAGTTCTTATAAAGGAAAGCATTTCTTTGGGACTGCTTACAGTTTAGAGGTTTAGTGCATTATCAGCATGGTGTGAGGCCTGGTGGCCCACAGGCAGACATGGTGCAGGAGAAGGAGCTGGGAGTTCCACATCCAGATCAGTTCTACATGTCTCCTTCCAGACAGCAGGAAGAATGAGACTCTGGTCTGGCTTTGGCTTTTGAAACCCCAGCGCCCAACCACCCCCAGTGACACACTTCCTCTATCAAGGCCACACCCACTCCAACAAGGCCACACCCCCTAATCCCTCTCAAGGAGTGCTGTTTCCCAAAAATGCATGTTTTCTAATCTATGAGCCTCAGGGTTATATCCAAACCACAACAAGAGAATGAATAAAATATTTTCAAGGATGAAAATAATCGGTAAAACATAATCATAATTTCATGGTCTCCAGATAAACATGTCTTCAACACCCATTTTTATAAGTAGCAAGTGACAGTGACTGCTTATTTCTTCCCAGGCAGGGATCTGGGCCATGAACCTAAAGGAGGGAGGTGTCCACGCTGTGAGCCTAGAGCCTCTGGGTTGGGTCCCCAGCCCTGTGATGCCATGCTGTTCCTCATTGCATCTACTCTCCAGTACACACGTCTAAGTGGTCTCACCTTGTTGAATGTGCATTTCACCCATAACTGTACCTGAGCTGTGTGACTCTCTTCTTCCCACTGTTTCCAGGACTCTGGGGTCTGGTCAACAACAATGGCATCTCCATCTCCTTGGGTCCCAGTGGGTGGCTGAACAAAGAGGACTTTGCAAAGGTACTGGATGTGAACCTGTTGGGCATGATTGAGGTGACCCTGAGCATGCTGTCCTTAGTGAGGAAGGCAAGAGGCCGTGTGGTCAACATCTCCAGCGTCATGGGTCGAGTGTCTTTCCCTGGTAGTGTTCCTTACAACATCTCCAAGTGTGGTGTAGAAGCCTTCTCGGACTCCCTCAGGTATTGGACAGGGATGTGGGTACCGGAGGGAAGCATTGGCATTGGGTTTTATTTGATCATGGCCTTTAGAATCCCATCATGGAGAAGATAATCTCTGGTTGGGGACTGTCTCACCTTCTCCTCATTCAATCATCCACTGGGAAGCACTTTTCCATGTCTCTAGCAGAGGGCAGGACACGAACTGAGTGTAGTTCATCTTGTCCTGCCATGAAAGACTGAGGGTACTAGGTGCCATTATTGAGGTCAAATTGAGCTTTGGAGTATTTTGAGTCAAGAATTCAGACCCCTGAGCTCTATGATGCTAAACATGTTTTTGAGTGGGGCTGAACATCTCATTCAAATTGAGATAGATATCACGCCCCTGTAGAGTCCAAAACCACCATGTTCCAGCAGACAGAAATGTTTGAACCTGACCTAAAGACTATGGCAACTTAGAGAGTGTGAGCAGAGACAGAGTGGAACTTTGGAACTTCCCTTGGAATGACCCATGTCCCAGTCAGCTGTGTCCACCATGGTTGTCATCTGTTTGTCAGGGTCCTGTAGCAGGATTGGGCTGCAGCAGAGTAAAGGTTGAACATGGAAACCTGGGACCTGTATGTGTAAGTGGACTCTCCCTGGGAAAAGTATAGACCATATGTGGAAGGCGGATGGTCAGCAGGTGGGCTGATGTAGACTTGTGGAGAGCCTAAGAGAGCTCAACGGTATGTTCTTCATGCTGTCAGCAATAGAATCCGTCAAAGGGATTGAATCAGGGGAGCCATTTGGGGCAGGTACATCCCTGCTGGAGGGAACAGGGAGGCTGTGAATGTGAGGATGTGTCAGGAAGGTTCTTGCTCTCTGAAGACTCCTGCAGGAACAAAGTGAGAGATGTCCTGAGTGCTTCCTGAGACAGTGGGGTGGACTGAGACTTAGGAGTGAGGTGGAGGTGACTCGGGCAAGATGGTGACCCTTGCATCTGCAGTTCATGGAGAGAGGTCTTAATGGTGTCATAGAACAGAAGGCCTAGTTTTAGACCAGTGACCTACACACACCAAACTCTTAGTGTGACATTCCAAAGCACAGAGGCAATGCCCTCACCACAGTTTCATCCCCATCTGCTGCACAACCCAGATCCACAACTCTGACCTCTCCTTACCACAGGCTCGTGTTGGCACGTCACTGTACACTTATGGTTAATTTTTTTACAGAAAACCATCTGAAATTGTTGATGTCTGTCTGTCTTGCAGAAGGGAGCTCTCCTATTTTGGGGTGAAGGTGGCTATTATAGAGCCTGGTGTCTTCAAGACTGCTTTGAGCAGTAGTGACAGGTTATCATCAAACATGAATATGGTATGGGACCAGGCCAGCTCAGAGGTCAAAGAAATTTATGGCGAGAACTTCCTGGCATCCTGTAAGTGAGCTGTGAAGACCCAACAGAGTCTGGTCCTGAATCCTTAGTCTCCTGTTCATTTTGCCAGTACTAACCCATTGCCCTCACTCTTCAAAGAAAGTAGACCCATTTTCTTGTGGTAGGTGTGTATATTGTCAGGAAAATCTTGACTTTGAGAACATGGTGCTCTGCTCCATCTGAGCCTCTCATCATCATGAAGCTGTGAGTGAGGTCAGGGATGGGAGGAGGAGGAATTAGACAGTACTTTCCATGAGCTGAGACAAAGATGTGGGTATGCACAGTTCTTCCTTGAAGCTGGGTCATGGGCCACCTGAGGAACTGGGACAGGATAGTGTTGGCATGGCTTCTGATGTGGGATCATGGGGTCTAGAGAAACTTTCCTCTAACTAGGTTTAGAGCAGATGGGGTGGAGGTGAGCAGCAGCTGAAATACTTCTCGCTCTGCACAGATCTCTCAATGCTAAAGTCATTGGACCAAAAGTGTAATGAGGACCTCTCCTTGGTGACAGACTGCATGGAGCACGCACTGACTTCCTGTCACCCTCGCACTCGATACTCAGCTGGTTGGGATGCCAAGCTCTTCTACCTCCCCATGAGCTACCTGCCTACCTTTCTTGTGGATGCCATGATCTACTGGACATCCATAAAGCCTGCCAAAGCTCTGTGAAGCCTACATCTGTTTCTGTAGTTGGGGGTATGTGAGTGTAGTGTGAGGGAACAGATCCTCAGGAGGAAGAAGATTCCTAGGATCAGTACAATCTTGTCATTGGCAGGAATATCCATAGTGGCCTGACTCCTCTTTGTCATTATAAATTTGGAGGAAATAGAGCCAAAGGAAAAACTACTATGTTTAAACAAATGTCTCCACTTGGGGTGAAAATAGAAACTGATCTTCCATGTTTCAGAGTCATTTATTTTACTTACTTTATTTTTAAAGATTTATTTTTTATTCATCTGTATGCATGTGTGTCTGTCTTCCATGAGTGTAGGAGTACCTGTCAGGATGCACCATGTAGCATGGGTCGGCTGAAGAATGAAAGCACTCCAAGATGAAATTTAAAGGTCTATGGGGTAGCAGGAATGTCTAGCTTTTCTGAACCCCAAACAGCTGTACAAAGGAGTATTGTATTTATTGATTGTTACACAAAGTATTACCTTATACCAAGGTCTCTAATCTAACTTACATGTCTTACTAAGGGAGAGCATCACATGCCCCCATGACTCTAGTCCTTTATTATGTATCATTTGCAATACACAATAATACAAGAGCCTCAGGTGTGCCTGAGGCATCTTGTGATCAAAGCCATGGGATGGCTGCAAAGCCGCTTCAGTAAAAAATTCTACAAAACGTGGGGAGGGGTAAATCACTTTTTTCCCACAAGGGTTCTTCAAGGTTAAAGTACTTCTAGAAAAGAGCTGTTCATTCTAATGTCTACCCCAGATACAGTGACTCTGCTAAATTCCTACAAGTGCCCATGGAGTCCATATTATTGTGTCCCCTGCAACTGGAGTTACAGGCAGTCAGGAGATGCCTAACTGTGAATGGGGAACAAAATTTGGGTCCTCTAGATGAGAAGCTAGTGGTGTATCAGCTGTCCCTTTGTCTAAACCGTTCATATTTGTAGTTAATCTTTAGTTCATTTGAATCTGGGACTCACCGTGTCACACAGGTACATCATGACCTTCAGAATGTCTCCCTTTGCTACAGCACATCTGGCTTAGGTCTGAAACCCAAAGGGGCTTTGAGGGTCAGTGAGGGAATGTAGAAAGGACAGACACACAGACACATGTACAGAAAACAGGCATCCAGTCGCCTGAGTGTGCTCTGATGGAGCCTCAGCTACTTCCTCTGCAACCTGCAACTTGAGCATGTTCATTGTGAACATCAAAGGGGAAGGGGCTGGCTAGTCTCTGCAGAGGGACTGAAGACTCCAGTTTCAGACTCAAAACACCCAGGAAGCTGCAGTTGCTAGTTTTTTCCTGACTGATCTATAAACATCTGAATGTGGTTCAGAGGAAGAAAGCTTTTCTAATTCTGAACCTGACCCGTATAGGAAAGGCTTTGCCAATTTGCCTTGGGTCTGAGGTCTTTATCCCTGTCATGGAGGTGCCCAGGTCAACAGTACACACTCACTCAGGACCCACTCAGGGCTTCCTCTCCTCTGAATTGCTTCAGCATCTCCAGTGCTGGGATTATGAAGGTGTGCCACCAAGCCATGCTGTTATTTT